ACCAGCACTCAGACCACGAGCGTTACACCAGCACTCACACCACGAGCGTTACACCAGCACTCAGACCACGAGCGTGATACCAGCACTCACACCTGTCTCTTATACACATCTAGATGTGTATAAGAGACAGGTTGTAGAGCATGGCAAGCGACTGAAGCAGCGAGGCTACGTCGCTAGTAACTCGTAGTTGTAGAGCATGGCAAGCGACTGAAGCAGCGAGGCTACGTCGCTAGTAACTCGTAGTTGTAGAGCATGGCAAGCGACAGGTGCAGCGAGGCTACGTCGCTAGTAACTCGTAGTTGTGGAGCATGGCAAGCGACAGGTGCAGCGAGGCTACGTCGCTAGTAACTCGTGGTTGTAGAGCATGGCAAGCGACTGAAGCAGCGAGGCTACGTCGCTAGTAACTCGTAGTTGTGGAGCATGGCAAGCGACAGGTGCAGCGAGGCTACGTCGCTAGTAACTCGTAGTTGTAGAGCATGGCAAGCGACTGGTGCAGCGAGGCTACGTCGCTAGGAAATCTTTATGCTCATTTTACGCTATGAAATAAACTATATGGAGGACCGACGAGACAAGTCATCTGTTAGTCCGCAAAGAAAAATATGGTTATAAAGTCCTCGTAATAAAAATCTTCAGGTAAAATACCGAAATTCGATGAGAAAAGAAGTATGATAAGTGACGTAGTGAAGCTTTCAGGTTACTCAACAAATACTAATTAAGTCAATGAACATATGGAGGTTAGGAATATAGCTCATCACAATAACGATAGACACAGAAATGTCGTCTAATGATAGCCAAGAGGCCAACAGGATATGCATGCCTGGTCTTGCCCTCTGGCCCTGTATTCACCACATAACATCGGCTGGGTGGAGCTTCTGTCATAACCACTAATGTACCGTCGAACACGCATCCATGGAACACTTACTTAAGGTGTTGAAGCAAAACACTGCAATGCCTTTTAAGGCTATCCATGAACTCCTAAAACGAACAACATATTCGTATCGAAAGAATAAAGAGAGCTGAGCGAGCTTAATATGATTTTTTCTCACCATAATATGAAGCCGGAGAAGAAAATCAGAAGAGTGTATCTCCACTGCGCGTCTACAATGGTAGTGTACATGTCCTGCAAACAAAAAGCAACGTGAATTTAGAACAATTAGCGTCGAAAATTTACGTTATGTCTTGCCATGTAGGACGCAGAAATGGCCACAAAAAAATAAGCATAAAAGAATAATGCAACCGTTGTCGAAAACTGATCGAAAACTCATGCACTGAGAAGCTAATCAGGTTTTCGGAAGCGTACAAATGATGCAAACACGGAACAAGTATTGTACAAGTCAATTGTATTGATGAGCCAACCTGATTTACTTTTCTATTAAATTTCATTATCTGAACGCATTCCGCGCTCAAGTGAAAGCGTCTCGCAATTGAGATAAGGATTATTATCGTCCTCTCTTATCGTGGCTACGTTCCTCTGTACCTACTTTAAAGTGCGTCATGCCGACGCACTTACGCCTGCAGCCCAATTACCCAGAGCGCTAAGCAAAATTATAACTATTGTAGTTTTCACGGAGGCACATACACATTAAATTTTTAGAATACAACGAATAAACATGCGGGAAAAGCTTGTTCTAATCGTACGGCATTCGGTGAAGTAAATACAAAAGCAATACACGAGGACGAGTCTAGTTTCATTAGCGCGACTCAGGTGTCGCGGTATAAACGCTGATGAAAACAAAACATTTGCGATAAAGAATATCAACGAATGCAAATCAATGAGCGTAACCGTTTAATCGTCGCGAAAATTCAATTTTCAAAGAAAAAAACAACTACATACATGTTTTATTTTAACGATATCTTCAATCTGGAAATGAATTCTTATTAATAAAGTAATAACGATTGAAGAATAATGAAGCGTAAAAGAAAATTCTTGTTTAAATACTTGGTTTAGCATTTAAAAGATGAACAAGCAATTTTTAGAGATGTTATTGAGCGGAGTGTCATGATTGTTTTCGGGGTGATTCATGGATAACAGGAACAGCAACGAAGACAATATGAAGAGCACAACAACAAAAACAGTATAATAATTGTCATACAAAATATTTTATAAACATTATTTTCAATAAAATGAACTTAATATACAGAAGTCCTCTACAAGAGCTGAACTCACTCACCATCATATACCTGGAGCGCTGCTTCTTGACACTCGACATGGTGACGTTACAGAGACTCACCATCATATACCTGGAGCGCTGCTTCTTCACGCTCGACATGGTGACGTTACAGTCTCCGTTCCTGAGGATGACAGGCTCCATGTCCCCCAGTAACGTGTGCCCTGCAACCACGACAAACATTACACCAGCACTCAAAGCATAACAATAACAAAACATAACATAACATAACATAACAAAACATAACATAACATAACATAACATAACATAACATAACATAACATAACATAACATAACATAACATAACATAACATAACATAACATAACAAAACATAACATAACATAACATAACATAACATAACATATTGATCTCGGCGCTGAAGTGAAGACCTGATGTGGCCTGTCGCCGATTCTTTTCCTTTTCGTGCCTTGTTCACAGAAGATCTAAAATCGTGTCATTTGACCGGATCTTTTCATGAGTCATGACTGACGATAGTTCGAAATAGCTACCCGACTTCCACCGGGTTTGATATTTGATATTTGAAATGCTAGGCATTTCAAATCTGAACATATATTTTTCCATAGCTTTATCTAGTCTGTTTTTGAACGCGTTCATACTTGGAGCGCCAACTATGTCATCGCGGGGAGGCTGTTCCACATGTCGGTGATTCGAAGCGAGAAGAAATGTTTACGCGTTGAGAAGTTGCAGCGCAGTTTTTTAGTATACCGGACTATAGCCGTGGCCCCTGGTGATGGTTCTTGCTTCAAATTCTATTAATCCTTCGGGAACCTTGTATAAACCATGAGTATACTTGTATACTTCAATGTGGTCCACACGCAGACATCGATAACTGAGGCTTGCAAGCTTCATAATCTTTCTTCATATGACTTGCCCATTTCAAGCCTGGAATTATCTTTGTTGCACGTCTTTGAACATTCTCTATTAAATTTTTGTCCTTTTCAAATCTCGGTGACCACACAACGTTTCCTAACTCTAGACTCGGGCGTACGACGGCAACAAACAACTGCTTCATCGTTTCTGCATCTAGGAACTCGTATGAGCGTCTGATTAGTCCAAGAAGTTTGTTGGATGTGTTAGCTTGCGTTTCAACATGCTTAGAAAATTTCAGCTCCGTGTCGACATAAACTCCGAGATCTTTTTCCACATACTAGACTTTTCAATCATTACTCTTTCGTTGCAACCATGTCTTCTCATACTGCAATCTTGCTGTTCATTGTTATTCCCGATGTGAAGTATTTTACACTTGTCAGCATTAAACCGCAGCTGCCACATATCAACCCAGTTAACTAAACTGTCAAGATCATCTTGCAATTGCGCTTTATTTGACGCATCCTTCACTGAATTATAAACTTTTGTGTCGTCGGCATACATGGAGCACACGCTGGACACTGCTTCTGGCAGATCGTCTATAAAAGCAACGAACAAAATAGGCCCAAGAACGCTTCCTTGTGGCACGCCACTGCGTCCTGATGCCCAGTCTGACACGGTTCCGTTAATACTGACACGTTGTCGTCTACCTACTAGAAAATCTCTGATCCATTGTCGTACGTTTTCCTCAATTTCCAAAGATTTCACTTTACGCAACAGCCGCTCATGAGGAACACTGTCAAATGCTGTGGCAAAATCGAGGTACAATGCATCCACTGGCTCCCTTTCGACTAGCACACTGTTAGAAAAAACGGTGAAAAAACGGTCCCACTGGCGTTCTAGTGGCCGGTCACCCCGTGAAAATAAACTGTTTCGCTGTTTTTATCAGATGTTTTACGGATTTCTAGTGTTAAATTATAATAAAAACGGCGACAAGGTGTTTCTTTTCACGTGCCGACCGGCCACTGAAACGCCGGTAATACCGTTAACGGTAATTTTTCTAACAGTGCAGGCGAGTCCAATCGTTCAACGTAGATAATAAGTTAGTGGTGCAGGATCTACCGGCAATAAAACCATGTTGACAATCTGATAGGTGATGGTGAGCAGTCAAGTGATCGATAATCCTATCCCTCACATCAGATTCCATTAGCTTACAAACAACATTTGTCAGACTGACAGGGCAATAGTTGCCGGGGCTGTTTTTGTCACATTGTTTGAACAATGGTGTTACTTGAGACTTTTTCCAGTCGGACGGCAAAGTTCCTTCGTTCAAGGTTTTTTGAAAGAATACTGTCAATGGGCCGGCAAGAACGGTTGCCAATTCTTGAGCAATCTGGGATGGAAGGCGTCTGGTCCACATGACTTGTTGGGATTTAGAGTTACCGCAGGCGCTTGAGAACCTCTTCTTCGTATATTTCAAAACCTGTTAACTTCGAGCCGACTGGGCGCTCCTCAATATCTGGAATACTGTTCAAGTCCTCATCAGTGAATGCACTGCTGAAGAACTGATTAAGAACGTTTGCCTTGCCCTCATCAGAGGAAATCTTTCGTTGGTCCACTTTCAAATCAGATATACCGTCATTTGACTTACATTTCGAACTAGCGTACAAAAAGAAGGCTTTCGGATTCTTTTTTGCAATTTTAGCAATATTTTTTTCGAAGTTTTTCACTGCAGTGCGACAAACTTTTTAGCTTGATTTCGAGCTCTTGCATACAGGTTATAATCAGAATCGCTGCGAATTCGTAAATAACGCTTGTAGGCTTCCTTCTTGGTCTGTAGATGAGCTTTAACTGTACTGTTCATCTACTGGGACTTTTTAGAATAGAATAGAATAGAATAGAATAGAATAGAATAGAATAGAATAGAATAGAATAGAATAGAATAGAATAGAATAGAATAGAATCTAATA